TTTCAAGTTGGCTGAATATTTTTTTATAGTTTGTTTATTAAATGTATTATTGCGACCGTAACATAAACACGTCATAAAGCCATAGCAGCGTTGTAAGAAATTAACCATTGCATTTTTAGTCAATGTCGGTTTATGACCAAAACTGGTTCTGCTAGTTTTTATTAATCCGCCAATACTCGCGCGCTATTTCAACTTTGTAATGGAACATGTGAGATGAAGTCATCTTGCAAATAAATTAGAACAGGGTCCTCGTCTTACCGTTTCACATTAGATGACGCCTCTAGTAATCGCTACCTTACATGTCTTCAATCTTCGGGGTGTTTGCCATTGCAATTTGTCAATCATGACTGACCGTCATAATATAGGCATATTATGACGTCACGTCACTTTGGTATTGAAGAATAAACCTAATAAGATTTATATCGACTTTGAAATTATATTACAGCGCAAATTATGACTATCTCTAATATCAAATAGATTATAAAGAAAATTAAAACCAAAACTTATTATTCCAACCGAACCATTCGTACACCTGTAACAGGACTCTATCCGAGTCCGGTTTAGTATCAACGCAAGCGCAGCCGGCTTGTGGCTGAATAAAGCACCGCGATTTAGTCGCGACGCGAACAAATGGCGCCGCTGCGACACTCGTTAGGCAAAGCTACCACTTGAGGTCGCGATAGATATCGGAGCAGCCTTTGACTAAGTCAATCTGGATTATAGCCATTTACTACTGGAAACACTAAGTGAAAAGTTTGAATAATAATAAGGCAGCTCGACCGAGACTATTAAGTTGTCTGTTTACTATTATTTAGAGCTCCGAGAATCTTACTGGAACTAATAGTAACTATTTATAATACATTACATGAGGCGTACATGCTACATTCTTAACAAAGTGCACAAATTAAAAGAGCACTTCCTGTCGAACGCGTTACTTAGTTAATCGTAAACATATATATAAACTAGTATTTTGTTATTATAACAGGTATATATTCTGCTTATGTATGTATTTATGTATATAAAGTTCATGTATATTACCATCATTTACATTTTTTTAGTCACATCTAAATTTTAATTTTATTGTACAATAATTAGTCCCACAGACTTCACTTTTACACCACGGGTAGAGGTTGCTGGAAGAGATCTCTTCTAGAGATAAGCTCACCTTTGCATATGTCCTTTGTAACGTGTGTTTTGTGTGTCTTTTCTTTGTGCAATAAATAATTATATAAAAGTGACACAAATTTTCGAATGGGCACAGCCATCAAATGTAGGATTTTACTTAAATAAACGCGTATTCTATTGCATTGTGTGAAGTAGTCATTGAGATGGTGGAACGGCGGACGGTGGTACCGACAAGTGATTAACATTGGCCATGACAACTGCACGGTTATTTCTGGTGCCAGCGCCGGCGCCTGGCGCCTGTGCAGATTTGAAGAAGATCAATCACTAACGTATTGCAATCACAAAGGTCACAAAGTCAGCTACGTCTCATAGCGATGTTTGACACCGGCTTTTCGTTATACCGGTTTTGGAGAAAAACTAATTACCAAATGGTATTCTTTTCGATGGAATGCGAATTATAGCAAAAAAAGTGAATAAAATATATGAAATAAATTGAACAATCATTAATAATAAATAAATACATTTTCGATATTTATTGTCCACCTCGGTGGTCCAAAGGCTTCAACTGTGGGTGCTGAATTTTTTCGGATCTGAGTGTTCCAGGTAGAACACTAGTGTGAATTCCGTTGCTGTGTACAAAGTACAGGGAATTTCATAATTTGAGACCAGGTAATTGGTGTAGTCGTCTGACCCATTATTGTTATTATTATTGAATATGGCTGGATTCGAACCAACGTCTCCTAACAAACCGTGCCAGATGCTATGCCAACTAAGCCACGGAACGCACAAGTTTTTCCTTCTGCCTCTTGCAGGTCTTTATTTTGGCTTTTTACGACTTGAGAAATCTATGAAAGTTTTTCTTCAAGTAATTCCACAAAAAATCATTGAATTGAATATCATGGTGGTGCAACATCCCGACATTCAATTAAATTCTTAAACATTTTATTGAAACCAAAATGAAGTAAATACACCCTATTTAGACTTGTTACGCAATTTAGATATAGTAACATGAAACAAAGACAGTTGTGGTAAATTATACGCTTGCGGCTGAACGGCTTAGTGGGAAATGTAATTGTAAATCAGCTTAATGCAAGTACAAACACTTGGATATAAACGAATTTTTTTTATTAAGCAAGACGGTGCCGGTGGGAGCCTAATGGTTTCACTTACCGCCTCTCAAGCAGAAGGTCGCGGGGTCGGGAAACCAAATTTACCATGCGCTTAAACCCTTTGCGTCTAAATCCTTTGAAAAAACCTGTACCCAGCAGTAGGACGCATAATGAGTTGATAATGGTAAGACCATTACAGGCGCATACCAAGACAGGCGTATTGGCCAACAGCATTTTAATTGAATTTAACGAATTTTATAATCAGTTAGTAAATTTGTAGACGAATAACTGGTTCACATAATTGAGAGCGAAAATTGTACTGGCTGATATTATTCCTTTCTTCAAAATAACTTTCTGACCAACGTCACAGGAAATTGTTGTTTCGACAGAGCTGATGAAAAATAACCAATTTTATGAATAGATTGAAAGACAGAAAACAAAGAAAAGATGCACGGAGATTAAGGACTGGCCAAATATAAAGCATTGAAACCAAAGTAAAAGTGCTAAATAGTGCTAACGAAGAATGTCCGGCGACGAGAACCGAGAGATTTCCAAGAAAACCGCTTCATTAACGTTCCTTCCTGTCAGCCGTCGCGTCGTCTCGAACCCAACAAACAATAGAAAAATAGTAAACTTTCACGTATGAGATAAAGTTTTTAAATATGTGCATATGTTCCCTACCGAAACTTGTTTGCTATGAACATAACAATTAATGTCATTTTATATCTTTCTTAATTGGTCGAGTTGCATTGAATTGGTTAATGCAAAACATTAAAAAATTATAATAACAAACCTTAATTTTTTTGCCTTTTTTTTTAATCAAAGTATATTAATAAATTATGTATTGGCCATGTTGACCAATGACCTATGCCAGCTTTCGAACAATTTTTGAATTTCATAAAAAATCCTGTCTTTACTTATAAAATACAGCCCTAACGTCAGCACTAAACTTAAGTACCTACGTCTTAAACTAATGCGTGTATACTTCGTTTCAATCCATTTTGAACAAAAAGTAAACAAAAAAAACCTGAACGGACCATAGACGGTTTAGTGACTACAAATCGATTAATTAATTGAATGAACCGATATGTTCAATTGAGTCATACTAGCGGTTTTCTTTGCATAACCTATATGTATAAGCATATTTAAAGTTTCAATTTAAATCCTCCTTCAAATCCTTACAATTAGATACTCGTTCGATTGCGATTGAAATGTTCGATGTAATAATCGATTACTAAACTTTAATTGATTGAAACGAATGTTTTTTTTTTCGAACAGCACTATGCAATCATAGGCAAGTCATAGAAGTATAGATGAATAATAACCTCACTTCTGAACTGCCATTTTTCAAATAAGATTTTATGATGCTATTCAAATGAATATTGTTGGAAAAAGTGATGAAATATCAAGTCGAAATCTTCGAAATACACGTGAAAGTGTTACTTATTCGATTTATTGAGTGATTGCTTTAGAATTTTAACCAAACAGGGTTGTTTAATTTTTGTTCAAAATGTATTGGAACAGACTATAGTGCAAAAGTCACTCTTAAAGTATTACACAACACTTAAGAGTGTCATTATTTTAAGACGTACTTCAGGGTAGTGAAAGTGCACATACTCGTAGGTCTCGTTTGATGATCTGTTCATTGTTAAAGTCGTGACCATTCAAAGAATTTTGAAAAGACCGAAACCTGAAGGGCAGTGTTGACTGCTTTGTAAAGATATCTTTGGTTTTGCATTTGAAATACGACACCTTCACGATTCACCAGTTCTAGGCATTTTTCACAAAAATAATTTTTTAAACTTATTTTCCCACCTACTCTAAAAATGCGCGCAAAAATATTGTTTTAAAAAATGACCATAGACTATAATTGTTTTATTTGTAAGTCAATGATAGACATCATAAAAATTAGAAAAAAGTTATAGTTATAGTTATTAATACCCATTACGTTGGTTCTACATGAAGTAACGTAGTTAGTTAGCTATTTTAAAGATTTCTCATATAAAATTATAACTTTTTATTACAAAAAAAAGACCTCAAAAGTTCGTGGAATTACATCTACTTGCTAAGTTTTATTGAAATCGGTTACCGGAAGTGCGTGAAACCGGATTCATCCTCTAGTTTGACACCCTTAGAGGTGGAATATTTTCTTCAAATTTAAATGGGACCAATATTGAGGTGCCCTTTGTAACAAAAAATCGTCAAAATAATCACGTAACATACACACAAAAAAATTACAGTAAAATTGAGAACCTCCTCCTTTTTGAAGTCCGGTAATAATATTACAGTGGACATGTGAACAAAGATGGCGTTGTAAATAAGTAAGATAATAATTACCAATAGCAAATTGATCAATCAATTCAGAATAAAAGAAAAAGAATAATACGACATGTTCGTGAAGTGTCGTAAAGTCAAACAAACATTATCAGCTGTAATCGTCCAGACAACACACAGAAGTCGAGTTTCGCGGTTCGCTAATAACAATTTTACACCTGTTTTATCGTCGTATTTACCTAGAGATTTATATCATAACAAACATACTTTGAGTGGCAGGCCTCGTAGCTGGCCCGCTGGAACACTTTTCTACACGCTGTAGAACGCGAAGCACATTTCCAAAAAACTATATTCTCGTTTTGGAATTAAAGCACTATAGGGATGAAATATTAACATAGTAAATAATTAGATTAATTCAGTGAATTTGTTGGTGTTTGTTTACAGTGGAAGTCAGCACTTCCACTGTAAAAGGGACCTTGAAGCAGATCACCCAAAGTGTGTCGTAACGAAGCGCCGATGGCATCCGTTGTTACGTGAGCGATAAGCACACAGGTGGGGTAGCACCTGCCCTGACTGGCGTGGTATGAAACACGTGTGTAGCACCATTTACAGTTAATATTATATCTGCAGTTAAGTACGAAAAGTAAGGTATGTAACAAGGAGTATAGGCTTATAAAATAAGAAAGAGATCAAACACAAAAAAATAAAGGCTTAAAAAAATTCACAGAAAACAAACCATAAGAAATATTAACAACAACCCCACAAATTTCAATTTAAAGAAGAAACTATGACAGAATTTAACGATGACGAGAAGAAAGTCCACGTGGACGACGTGCTGGAGAAACTGGGGGCGTTCGGCAAGCACCAACTGATCACCATGTGCATGCTGGCGCTAGTCTACAGCACTAACTCCATGTACAACGTCAATTATGTGTTCGCCGTCGAGGATGTCGGGTACAGGTGGGCTGAATTGTTAATACAAGATACGAGTAAAGGTCGACCAGAATCTCATAACGCGACACGTTAACTAGAAATGACATTCACATAATCATACGCAATAAGCGATAATTCACCGCGCAGACCAAGAATCATTATTTGTTCATTTGTTGTTTGTTTTTTTCACATCTCATTTTTTGTAAATAATAGGTATTCATTAATTTTCATTCATTACATCATAATTAAATCCAAGCCAAGTTTTATTGAAATCGGTTACCTGAAAGTGCACGAAACCCGATTCATCCCCAAGTTTGTCACCCTTAGAGGAGGCATATTTTCCTCAAATTTAAATGGGATTTCGATTTTGATTCCAAAAAAAAAGAATCATCAAAATCGGTTCACAAATAATCGGACTCGTCGCGTCACATACACACACAAACACAAAAAAATACAATCAAATTTAGAACTGATGACAATAATGTGATTCAAATAACGCGTATTTAAAACAGATCAAAATTATTAAGAAAAAAATCATTGAATAGTTGGTAAGTTTTGTGAGCATAAAGGGATATCAATCTTTGTGCCTCTTTAAAAAGAAAATTTGGTTTTCGACAAGGTTAAATTTCCACCGTTCCGTTTTATAGTTATAATAAACGAACTAGATGATGTCACGTTATAGATGTACTTATACATTATAGACTTGTCTCTTCAAAATTTTTGTAATAACATTTTTAAAAAGGACAAGATTGCCATATCTCGATTTGGTAGCTCTGATTTGACTGCTAACCACAACTGAACAATTCGAAAAATTTTGCAAACACTCAAATAATAATAATAACGCACACACTCAACATTGCCCCGCACTAGAGAAACCCTGTGTCGCGGGTGCCATGAACACACATAGAAAACCACGATTTACACCCAAACTCACGAGAGAATTTAATGTAGGGCATACAAATATTTCTCTCGGCTGGCAATCGAACCCGGCCTGCGTGGCGGTTCGGCCACGGAGGTAGTTCATTAATTTCTCATTTTCATTTTAGACGACGAAATTTCCCATGTGCAGTGTTAACAACTATTTCAAATAATAATTTTTATCATGAGATTGTAGTGAACATATAAATTCATGTTTAACAAAATATGTTATAAGCAATAATGGGTTTTTCATTCCCGTCATTTTAAATACTGCAGGCTATTTGCGTAATTTCAAATTTGATTCGATTGTTTGTCCGGGTTTAATAATTAATGCCTATTCATTATAAAAAAAATGTTTTCATTTGGTAAAGAAGCATTCAACAACGTTCACGACACATTTCACGAATAATAACCAGTTTTTATAAAGCAACCAGAGTTGGAACAAATTTTTCACCAGGTGCAAAATCCCATCGTGTGACGAATCGACGCCAAACTTCACCACTTCCTGGCTGATAGACGCGTTTCCAGACGTCAGCGATGTAACCATCAAGCAGTGCTCGCACTACCAGATGCTGAACCAGAACGGCCGTGAATGCAGTTTTAACAAAACCTCAGTCCCGCTGGAGTGCACTGACTTTGTCTATGAGATACCCAACAGCTTTGTTGCAGAGGTAAAAAAATTTAAAAACTTGTTCATGGATTCAATTTCACACTATATAACAAAGAATTGTCACGTGAAAACATAATCGTGACGCTACAAAAAGTTCTACAGACCCGACTGTTCTACTAAAACAGTTTCATGGCCATGATGATAAAATTAAATTTAATAGCTAACCGAAGAATACATATAAATACAATATTTTTTAAACATTATTCGGTATATAACTTCCATTTACCATCCTGGACTGCCACGCTGAGGTCCTGGGTTAGATTCCCGGGCCGGGAAAAATATTTGTATGGCCTACGCTTATTTCTCTCGTGAGTCTGGGTGTAACTCGTGATTGCCTATGTGTGTGTCTATGGCACCCGCAACTCAGGGTTTCCCTAGTGCGGGGCTGTGTTGAATGTGTGCGTTATATTATTATTTTGAAAAATATTGTAAAATAAATTAGGTATATTCTGTTTATAGTTTGGTTTGGCGTGTCAGGACTGGAAGCAAGCCATGGTCGGTACTGTGCATAGTTTCGGCAACATGATCGGGCTACTGGTGCAGGGACAGATATCTGACAGGTACGTAAACAACGGAACGGGCGAAAAGCCGTCGCTGGCAAACCGAATTAAGGACTATCCACACACATCAGGGCCCCGGGACGTGACCGGGGCGTGCTAGTTTATATGAACTGCGGGCCCGTGCCGGCGCCGGCCCGGCCCCGTCCCGGTCCCGGCCCGGACACGGACATGTGTGAACGAGTTCATACAATATATACGCACGATATTTTTTTGAACCCCTGACGGAGCACGGCCTGTCCACGTCTCGGGCACGGCCCGGATACGTGTGGATAGACCATTACTGCTTACTTTCGACTACACTATTTAGTTATAAAGGCGTGGCTACGTATTGTAAAATTCGAGAGTGAGGTGTCGCCCTTGCTGTTATGAGAGTGAGAACGGAATAAGGCTAGATAGAAAATCTATTTATGTATAAATTATTTAGCAATATAATATACTGCATAATAATCGAGATCGCGCATGCGTCAATGGCTCTTAACTGCGGGTTAAGTTGAAATATTGTTCACCCCCTACAGATGTATGTATGTGGCAAACAGGTATGAAAAAACGGAACGTTTAAAATTTGTAAATAACGCGACAGCGCTTTCAACGTTATAATAATCGCAAATATTGTCGATCATGGTTCTGAACAGAAGACTTTGGTTCCTCTTGAATCAGTAAAGTTTATACTGCAAAATGTCACAACAATTGTGTTCCTAAAATATGTTGTTATGTAGTATGTAACTCGGGCAACCAGTATGGCCGATCAAGTAGTATAGCAAATCAGTCGCCTAAATCACTGGAATTGATAAAAATATAGGATTTTGTCTGCTTATATTAACGAAATAATTATACTAGGAAATGTGGCTTTATCATTATTACGCCACACTTGCGTTCAATACATCATAGCTGCTGTAATTAGAATACCTAAATACTTGGTTTCGTAAACCAAAATACGTTGAATTTTCTCATTAAAAGATATTATTTACTCCGTGTTTAACATCTCGTTGTCGCTAAAACCCAATCTATTTTTGTAAATACGCTTTTCAATTTGTTATCTTACGCATACATTCAAATTTATAGAAAACCTTTTGGTAATCCAAGTTTTGTATGTGGAAAAAAAAATTTTGCAAAAATTATCAAACGGCCTAAAACAAAAGCTATTTATTTATTTATTCAAGTCAAAATTATTGAGTTTTGGCGTTGACTTCATAGATGTATATATAGCGTTCATTACATTTTATCAAATATATAATATAATATAATGTGTATAATATAATAGTATAATGTCCTACGGGATTCTCATGTGGGGTAAAGCGGCAGATATTCAAACCATATTTGTATTGCAAAAACGAGCGATTCGTTCTGTGTACCGTCTAGGCTCTCGGGTTTCTCTCAGAGAAAAGTTTGAGGAGACTGGTATCATGACTGTGGCATCACAGTACATTTGCTCAAATACTTTATATGCCCGTGAAAATATACATAATTTCAATAAGAAAGAAGATATCCATAATGTTAACCTTAGAGCTAAATCCAAACTCATGGTACCACTTTCGTTTAACCAAGGTATACAACTGTTTTATGGGGAACTGTATTCGTTTTTACAATAAGATTCCGGAGCATATATTAAGTTTATCATTTCCTAAGTATAAAAAATACATTAAAAAATATTTTGATCGAAAAATCATATTACAAAATTGAAGACTACGTGTTAGATAAATATGTATGGAAAGACGACATGGCCCCAGAATCCACACAAATTTGATTCAAAGTGTATTCCGTAGCATTTAAGTTTATTTGAAAAGAGCAATCCCTAGAGTTTCTTGCTCGTTCTTCTCAGGGAGGTCAGCGTAGTGAACGAGCAGAAGCTTAAATGTGACGTTTTCATGAGTAAATTTATTTTACATATGGAATAAATAATCTTAGACTTTGACTTTGCAAAATAAGTAAGTGAATTTGAGAAACATTGTCTAATACTGGGCATTTCATTCTATTTAAAAAATTTGCAAACAGCCAATACACATCAAAGATCACGCCCTGATAAAATGCCTTCAACATCTTTGCGTTTCAACGTGCCAACCGCAACACGCGCAGAGGTCCTATTTATGGATCTGTGCGTCTCCTCTTATTACGCCGTAAATGCCTCAGAATACGCCCCTTATTTACATTGTGACATCGCCTTACAACAATACGCCAGCAGACGGAGGAAACTGCGATCTAAGCTACTTCCTAACATGCTATCTGCTCTGCAAGTATAACCTATGTCCTCACAGATTGCCAATTACTTACTATTACGCTACAAGCCTTAAAATCCACTCTGAGAAAATTCACAGAATGTTGCCACGTCCTCAACCCATATGAGACATACAACTAGAATTAGAGCATAGCTTATGCTCGTCGGATAAGATCTTAAATGATCTTTCGTATGAAAGATTTTTATACTATTGACACATTTTTAGATGGGGCCGCAAAACAGCGGCGGTGTTTGCGGGCACGATGGGCGCTATTTTGGGCATAAGCAAAAGCTTCGCGCCCTCTTTCTGGTTCTATATCGTACTGGAAGGACTCGAGGCAGCAATCGGGGATGCACTCTCGCCGATGTTCATGCTCAGTAAGTAGTAGTAATTATATTTCTCTGACTAAAGTTTATGGAAATTTTTTACTGATGTTAACTTTTACAGGCATAGAAATTGTTGAAAAAAAACGCACAGTGCTCTTCCAAATGATTCTTCTAAACTGCTACACCTGCGGCCTTATCATCATGCCGTTTATCGCTTGGGCAGTTCCTTACTGGAGAAATTTCCTCCGCGTTCTGTATGCTCCGACCCTTCTCATATTGACGTACTCCTTCTTCCTCGACGAAAGCATTCGTTGGCTTTTCAGTAAAGGAAAGAGAGAACGAGGAACTAAACTAATTCAAAAAATTGCCAATCGAAACGGAGTACAGTTGGACAAAGCAATGCTTAATAAGTTAGAATATATAGGCGAAGACGCCTCAAATGTAATCAACGATAGACAGTTACTCCTAAAGACGTTCAAATCGAAGATCATGATGCAAAGGTTTCTCGTATGCCTGGTGTGGTGGTTTACAATCACGTTGATCAACTACGGGATGATGATTGGGTCGGTATTTATCGAAGGGAACAAGTATATCAACTTCGCACTGCTCATGCTTATGGACATTCCGTCAAATGTTTTCTACTGGCTGGCTATGTCCAAGTACAAGAGAAAACTGCCATTAATCTGCTCATTCATTGTTGGAGGAATATTTTGTCTTCTGCAGCCCTTCACGCCAAAAGGTAACATATTACGTTTTTATGCATTACGTAATTGGAATATATGTAAGGTATGTCTATTTTATTTCCATTATTTCCGATTCCATGTTATATTCAGGCTACGCGTGGTTGGGACTTTTGCTGTTTATGGCTTTCGAAACTTTGGCGACGTTCTCGTACAACATCGTGTACATTTACACGTCGGAGCTCTTCCCCACCTACACGCGTAACTCTATGCACGCCATCTGCAGCGCCATGGGCCGCGTCGGCTCGCTCATTGCGCCACAGACGCCACTGCTGGTAATCGTGAATCAATATCACTATCTTATCTCAATAATATAACTAATATTTAACTAAATATAAATTTATTTCATTCCAGCTATCGTACTGGTCAGGATTACCATCGCTGCTATTCGGACTGACGTCCCTCCTGTGTGGAGTGCTCACCTTGTTCATCCCAGAGACGGCAAACTGTGAACTGCCGGACACCGTGCAGGAGGCCGAGCGTATCGGCAAGAAGAAGCAAATCAAAGAGTTCACTCTACTCGCTTCGGAAAACAAACGTACAGATACTGGAGACCCGCTGCTTAACGAACATTGTAATGAAACAACATAGACTGCGGCTGGGACTTTAAACTAAAGACATTATGTTCAAAAGCTAAGAACAATTATCTGATTATCAGTAAAGTAATACCTACCTAGACATTTTGTTCAGTTCATTTTACGAGCAAGTTACCTACGTGTTGGTCTTATGATAGGCTAAAGAAAGATAATAGTGCGTGCTGCGCGTACAGGTATTTAAATAATTGTACAAGGTACTAATGCTTCGCCGGTTTATTTATTCAACACAGAAATGTAAGTCTCCAGCTAAATAACGGCGTCACGGGCTGGTGAAAGAAAAGACAACGGTGAAACTACGGTGATAAACATTTATTCGCAATATGATGGTGAGATAAAAAAAATTGCCAGTGACGCTCTTCAGTGTCTTTTTAATACCTAACTCCTATGAAATTGCCCTGATACCTATATATGAAAAAAAACCTTTTACTAGCTCAATTATTCCTCTGCGGTAGAACAGTATTGGGAGTACACCAAGACTTGGACATCATCTTTGCCTACTTACCGGGAACTACGTTGTTTTCCTTCCATGTAAATAATTATGTCATTTTTTAATTAGTTGTAAATAATTAATTTAAAAAATGGTAGTTGGTAGTGGGTCCAAGATAGATAAGTATGATGAACTTCAATCTGTAACTACTGTAAGTTAGAGATGATTTATTATGGCGTTATCGTGCAGAAGTAGCAGTTAATACCGGTTAGCTTATTTATTTCATACAAAGGCATACAAGAAAACACAATACAATGTCTTGTTAAACTGTGAAAGCAGTTTCACTACAATCACAAAACTATAGTATACGGGCATTTCTCCAAAGCTGCAATTTTCTGTGTCCATGTACTAAACTCCACTTATTTATCAAAACAAAAATCTACAAAAAATAGGGTGTATAACATAGATCGAAAGCTAACTGGAGACTACAAAATCTTCCCAATAAACCTTTTGGACCATTAGGTCCAAAAGGAAAAAAAACCGAAAAGCCTAAAACCAGACAACAGTGGCGTGTCCCGAATGCAAAGTCCAACACAAAGTGTCATTTTTCTCAAAATTGAAACCATGTATCAATATTACACTTTAATTCACGTATAATACATTAGATGCTAGTACTTATAATCTGAATTTGACAACAAACTAGACAATAGTTTTATCACAATACCAAGCTTGCCGCATGTCCAGGGCTTACGCGGGAATTCGGTGGTCGTTACTAATCACGCTACATATCGCAAGTGAAGAATTTTAGAAGCTTCGCAATGCGTTCATATTATTCGTCCATCACGCCCCTGCGACTGGAGAGAACAGGTGAATGATTTGTTGCCGATTTTAAGACATTTTGCGTGTAAATATGTATATAGTTCGGTGGATTTTATGCCATCGAAGCCATATTTTCTTCGAAAAGCAACAATTTTATATGTTTTTTCATATAAATGTTTACCTACGATTTGCTTCCCGGTGAAAATGAATAAGGAAAATAAAAACAGGAAAGAAAAATTGGATATCAAGAAGTTGAAGGAACGTGCTGGAAAAGCAAAGATAAAAAGCGATCCAATCATATATAAAAGGTTTAAAGAAAAAGATAGACAGAGATATGCGAAGAAAAAGCGGAAGGAAAGATTTTGAAGTTGCATGAATTACCTCGTCATGTACAAAAAGTAATGAGAGGTATTAATCAAGTTCCAAAAAATTTATTGCTTTTGTAGCTACAGATTGCATCCTAATTTTTTTTTTTAAACAGTTACGGAAATATTTGTGTGATTGAAAAAAGGTTGAAGAGCCAAACTGAAAACTGATTTTAATTAACAGTCATAAGGTGAAAATTGTTTGTTCTGTTCTGGCGATTTATAAATAAATTTTAGTTTTTAAAGCTTGATTTAATAGTTAGTCATATTAGTAAACATTTATGTAGGTTATTGAATGTTTTTATTGCCTTTTCCATAATATTTTATACAAAAATGCAGTGGTAGCTGAATTCTCTGGATCAAATATGTCATTAACTGTTAAGAATCTAGTTGCCCAATTAACGGAATCTTATATAACTTACATATGAATTCTTTTTCCGTCCCGCTCAATATATGTATTTCCTAAAAGTAAGAAAAAAAATTCGACCACCGAAGTCAGGGAACTTAGCCCTTCTAGGAGAAATGCCCATGCTCAGAACGAGTACATTAATCAAAACTATTGTAACCTTTAACTAAATTTTCATGATTTCAAGAAGAAAGTATCAATTTAATTTTTTCTTCATAGTGAATTTACATGACAATTCTCTGCCTATCAAAAAATCTAATTTGTTGAATATAATTGGCAAAAAAATGCCTATTTGTTCTTTTAACATAATAGTTGTTTACTTTAGGACGTACGTGAGACGCGCATATTTATTTTCACGGACTCGCCTATTTGTTCGGACCATCAACTTTAAATTACCAAATATTGGATTTTTGCTTTTACAGGACGTATTTTGCAGTCAGCTGCCATAGTTGTATCAAATCTAAGAGGGCATACCTACTCCGCCGCAAAGGTGTTTCACCAAACAGTACTTTCCTACGGGACAGTTTTTCTTATTTAGACATTGTTTGGGCTTTTCGATAGGATTCAGCTACATGTTGTAAACAATGTCTGCGATTATTATAAAAAATCCATCGTTGAAACAGAGCTTTCCGCGTTAACTTTACGTTTTTTAGTAGTATCAGGTCCATACTAACTAACCGCCTCCATGGCCGAACGATTACCATACTGATCTGCCACTCGGAGGTCCGGGGTTTGATTCCAGGGCCGGGAGAAATATGAATTCCCTCGTGAGTTTGTGTGTAACTTGTGGTTGTCTCTGTATGTGTCCATAGCACCCGCGACTCAGGGTTTTCCCTAGCTAGGCTATAAATGTGTGCGTTATTGTGTGCATTTATTATACATATAAGTTGTCAACGTTTCCCATCGTTTGCTCTGCACAAATGCACAACCTTCAAAATCTTCAACTCACAAATGCACAATCTTCAGTTCATCGTAAAAATTTAAAAATTACACGCATTTGAACATTATTCAAGTTTGATTTCCAAGTTACAGAGTTTAAGTGAATCCAAATGGAAAATAAATTAATAACGCCATCTTTTTAGATTTATATTTACGCCTTACGATTTTATATCAAAAAGAATTAAAATTTAAAGATTTCACATTAAAAGAGCTTTATTTTATGTCAAACTAGCCGGAACTACGTAACGGCTGTTTCATACTTTTAAGCCCTTGCAATTGTAACGATGTATACAACCATGTGGCTTCACAATTTGATGGCAGCGATCGGACTCAGTTTAAACGAGAAGTTGATGGCAAAAGGCGGGTAATCGTTGGCTCAAATATTTACTGTGAACACAATGCGCGGCCGTTGCATTAACGGTACTAATGTAAACACAGGACACGGGCTTGTCGTCGCGCCCTGCATGGACAGCGAATTAACTCAGGTAGGTATTTACTTATGAGTATGTACGTACTTATAGAAAAACAAAAACCTGTGTCTTACACAATACAAAATAGTGTTTTTGTACAAGTTGACACACAAATACATATAAGATCGAGGCGCATTTTTAAGTAGGCGGCGACGACGACGCGCCTGCGCGCGCCTGTGAAGCGCACCGTGACGACGACGACACGGCGATGCGGCATGTGCACGTGAAAAGGAAAGCTCATACAGCGTGATAATTAATAGGACACACAATGCCAGAAACGAGTCGCAGCATTAAAGTGCTCGTTGCTTCAATGCAGCAGAAATTAAATCATAAAACAAAGCAACTATAAAAACTTAAATCACGAACGTTACGTATGCTTTCTTTTATAGGTACATATTAAAGGCAATAATAACAGACGAATTTCTGCGAACGAAAAATAAACGCTCTGAGGACTCACACTTCTCGTTAATTTTTAACGAGAAATAAGTGTAAGTAATGCCAATTTTATTGCCAGCAACTGAAACATCTTGGGTCTTGCTGGACATATGAATAACGTCATATAAATATTGAACTATAAGCGCCAATAACATTAATAAACCAATGCTTCTTGTGAAAGAGTTCGTCCAGGGAAGTACTGCCTGAAAAACCTGACCTATTTCTGTCGCCAAGAAGTAATGCCCACATTGCAGCGTTGCGGTTTTGGGGGGTAAAGATGCTGGTCAAATTACCGGCACATGAGACTTGTCAACTTCATTATGTCTCGAGGTGACGGGTGCAGTGGCAATGCCCATCAGATATTTGCGATTTAAAGCTCTGAGTGACACTGTCTCTTAGCCCCGGGCGCACGAGTTGGTCGTCCCGCCATAAAAAAAAAGATTTAGACACGACTCATTACTGCAAATGTGTAGCACATCGTTATTTATTGCAAAGAATCATTAATTAGACAACTATATTGGCGAAAACTTCACTCTGATACAAATACTTACTAGTTTGGCTCATTATTTTTCGTGAAATTGTTTGTAAAAAATATCTGGAATTTTTAAGCAAAATAAATATAAGACGTACGGAATAAACATTTATCACACTCATGTTTATCTGTGTTAATCTAGAAATTGTATTATAATTCGGCGAGGGACCGCCCCGGTGGAACGCCGTCTTCGCCTCCTCATGAGAATGCGCGTGCGCCGCGGCGCATCGTCGCGCCTCGCATATCGGCCCTGATCACACGTCGTGGAGAAACGACGGGATTCAATTAATTTAAGTGCTTCTTATTTGCGGGTTAAACTACTCACATTCTTATAAAACCAAAATATCATGAAACATAGCATCGTATGTATAATCTCTATCTTTCTACCTTTATGAACGGAAATTAATATAAATATAAATAAATAGATCTGATCACAAAGTAAGTAACTAAAGCATTTGTGTTATGGAAATTGGAAACAACGACGGTACCACATACATCCAGATCCGAGACAATATAAAAAAGTTAGTTTTCTACATTGACCGGGCCGGGTGTTGAACCTGGGACCTCAGAGATAGCAACTCAAAATTAATTCCACTGTACGACACCCAAACTAAATTGAATGAAGTTCTAATACGCGGAATTACGATATCGTCGGGTAATTAAGAATAATTTATACCACTAACCTTAAATTCAAAGTGCCAAATATAAATAAATGTTAAAGACGCAAAATTGCTAGTGACTGCCGAGAACAGCGAATAGACTCAGCTCACGACGTTGCTTGTAACGGCGATCCAGACGGCACGGGCCCAATTAGAGGTGCTAAAGATTACAGCCCACGATCATCATCAGAAACGATACTGGCTCAGGCTCTGTGATCTGGGACACTTGACAAGTGGAAGGCAGACGGACGATCGCCGCCGGCGGATAAACAAATGAGGAAGTGCTTTATGGAGTGAAATTACCAGCCCGAGAACAGCTAAACTGCTTTAAAGTTATGGTCTTAGGAGCTGACATTGTATTAAATAACGTGTCTCGTTTATCCCATGAAGAGCCCGCAGATAGGCCGCAGGAGCGTCCGCTTTTTATTACGTGTAATCTATCAGATGGTTATCCGACAGCGGTAATTATAGAATGACAGTTTCGTATGAAGATTTTAGATCGAGCTGCTGACGCTAAATTGAATTTGTGTAAGAACTTTTTTGAGGAACTGACGCAAAGTACATGAGTAAGTACTTGCTCGACAGTGTTGTGTTGAAATAGTTGCCGTCGGTGTTTGGAAGTTACAGAACTGGTGGAACTGCTAGCTTAACGTTTTAAAAAAGAATTAATGAACAATAAACCTCCGAAATATCGTACGAATCGACAGTTAACAAGAAACAGATCAATTAGAATCGTAATGGCATACAAATTGATCACATCGTAAAATATCGTCTGTCGGTTCGATATGGTCCGTAACCAAATGCTATGGCCCCAAATTACGTTCCTTAACCCATTAAGAGCGCAATGGCCGCGGGAACACCAACCGATAGGCGATGCCGAGCGCACAGCGAATTGCACGCGAGGGTTGCGTCAGCGCAGCGATTGCTACTCGAAGGAACATGCATGATGAACGGTTATCACCGCGTCAGTAAGTCTGCGGCTGTCGAGCAGGAGTTGCTGAAACTACCAAGATTTATGTATATAATGGAAATACCTCCATTACTCGACAAAGTAGACAAAGAGGTGAAAAGTTTGGTAAATTAATTCAATATAGATACATAGATCCTGTCTAGGTATTTCCTTCTCTCAGTAGTTTGAACGCTTGAATATGAAATAATATCAGAACTAAGAAACTGCCTATATAAAAACGGTTCTCACAATGCACACAGCGTGATGATGTGTGCCGAAAGAAAGCTCGCGCTCAATGTGATAATGATTTTGACATTTGACTGGAGGTCACTTGGCCATCGCTCGGCATTGCGTTGCTCGGACTATGTGGGTAAAAAGCCGCCAAAGGTTTTTGTTGAGCTTAATTGCTGTTTTTTGCTGCCGAACCGAAATGTGGAAGCATTGGTAAGTGGGGAATTTTTTATAACAACTGAGCCGTGGACCACAACAAAGTTGATCAGTCTGACATGTCTAAAACCCTCATGACAGTTCGAAACAAACGTCAACTGGTGTTATAATGTGGTAATGGCGTGCTCTACATAAATTTTATAGCTCATAAAGTCGCGGCGAGGTGTGCGCACTGTACGTAGCGGCGGTGTGCGCGAGTGGCGCGCGCGCAACACGTGACGCTGCGAACTGCTAACTGCAGTCGCAGAATTTACGACAACCGCCGACCGCTGGCTCCGGAAATCTACCGTGAATCTTATGGCCTTTTCATAATTTGACCTGGCACCGATGAGGGCTGAATGGTTTCCCAAAAATGATGACTGCAAAAGGCATTTCTACGCTCTCAGCGTCATTGAAACAGACTTTAAAACTGAATTGGAGGAAGTTAGTGTGAAATCCTTATCCACTTTGCATAACGTAACAGAACCCAGAAACGAAAAGTTTCGGTTAATAGATGTCATAAATTGAACAATGCTAAGACAGGTATTTCATACTTTAAACTCAAAAGAACTTTGAAATCGAAAGATTCACATGTCTGCCAAGCTAATTAATGTATTGCATTGCTTGGTGACCGGTCGCAGTGTCTGCAGCGCACCCGCCACGCTGCAGCGCCGGAGCTTTTTGTTGAGGAGAAAGTCGCTCCTGAAACCGGATTCCAGAACCTCTCGACCGTAACCCTCAGTCGGTATTACAACCCTTATAATGAAACCTTTAAACGTGAACCATTTTTCCTTGTTAACATCAGCTTAGTCAAACCGAGAGCAAGGCGCGCAAAATGGCCCGTCCCTGTCTCAGTCGTAAGGCAAGAAACGGTAATAGTAGCAAGGGTTAATCACGCCAACGGGGGAATGTTAATGTGTCTTTACAACATGTGACAGATGACAAGGATGAATTGGCGATTGAGTCTGAAGGGTTACCGTTTAGCAAGGACACAGGCACCACGGGCGTCGAACCGCTGCCGGTCAACGCTCCAAGATTTATCTCTTCATCCGCGCAGCCCTGCAGCCCTCATTTAAATGAGCCATTCAATCCATACCTTTCACATCACACACGTTCACGTAACGGATGTCCTCAACAAAACAACAGCACTAACACTGAATCACACCAATGGAACACGCAACGGTCGGCTTTGAGATTCGAATTCGGCGGTTTCGAATTGACCAATCGCAGTATGCGCTGCACGCATGCGCAGAGACGTCGTCCGTTGGCGGGCGGCGGGCGAGCACTGGCCGCTCCCCCTCTACAACCTGCTTGGAACTTTTTTGCGCTAAAAAGCTCGAGATAAAAGTAAAATGATTGCGCTCCCACGAGTCGCTTCCGATCTCGTATTATGAGTATCTCTGACTTACTATAGCAATCGTTACACGCATTAACTACGGACTATGAATAATGAATATATTCATATCTCGACTCTATTGTCAGTGAAAGTTACCTAAAGCGTTATGCGAATCGTTTGATCATCACTCATTTGGGCGACTGATTATTTATCTCTGTAATGAGATTACAATCACTTACGTTTCGAAGACGGAGCCGCCGATATTACTTATAAAGTGCACTTTGAGCGTTATTTTATACGTATTGAGTTGTAATAGCTGGGATGAGCCACAGGTGACCTTAGAAAGCTCCACGTTAATGTTCGCTGCAAATTATAGAGGTATTAAACATTAAGGTGCTCATTGCTTTTGTAAAAGTTGAATTGATAGGAGGCAACAGAAGTCACTCGCTTTTCTTTAATTGAATTATTGGCGAGATAATTAAGTAGTCGCAGGCAATTTTCGAAGTTATTTCTTGCATAATGTTCGTAAGCGAAGCACAATGGCGGGACAACGAAAATGTAACATTGTAACGAAAGTGTATGTTGGTGTTGTTCCCATGCAGAAACTGAAAAAATCACTTTCTATGTATTTAAGCGACTGCGAGTATGCCTAATAGGCAAAGTTTGTGTATACGCAGATAGAGAAATAGGCAGTATATATAATATAGTATATTTCTAAAAGAAAGCTTCGACACCTCAACGTAATTGGTAATGAATCGATAAAATGAAGACCGTTCAATGTTTTTGTTTACTGTGTCGTTTTTTGTGAATAAATTTACTCAAAAACGAAAAACTTCTCATTAAGATCAAGACACAAATCAACCAATTCATTTCACGGATGTTCCGTCACCATACCTCCAGGCAGCTGGCCAATCGCCGAATAGTAACGCGCACATAAGATATCAACGACATTTTGATTTCGATAAATTGGTGGGTTCGGTTGGATCCTCGATCAAACAAGGTGAACTTCAACTGGAATGTGTGTACAAAAGGTTTACGACTATAAACAGCCTTACCTCTCTCGAGATTTCTCACGTGTAATCTGACACCGCTCAGCTCGCATAACGCACAAGTGAACACCACATTGTCCGTCGCGAACGCCGAAACATTCTGGGTACACTACAGCTTTTGCAGGTTACCCGCGGACTTAAATTGTAGAGACAGTTTTCTATTGAGCCATACTCGTATAGTTAAACATTGAACACAATTTACAAAAAGCAAGATAGGGGATGATGGCGACAATCGCGAGCGCGCGGATCGTCGAACGATAAGTGAACATTGATGAGCTGGGTGGATAAAACGCTAGCGACAGGACGGCAGGTGGCGAATGAAAAGGTAACGTGGGGGATAAAAAGTTCAAAAAAATATCTGCGCGTGCGACCACCGCAACTGCGGCAATGGACTCAACGCTCTTGCATATGCACAAGTTTGACAATTTGTATATCATGTATTATTTACAGAAAGTTATGACCATAAACTTTTGCAACTTGTAGCGGAATGCTGCCTACTGTTGCGCTACCTACTTTGAGGAGCCCTGACGCGAGAATTCGTCTTCTTCCTTCCGATCTGACCGTAGCCCTATTACATTACAAATTGTTGTATTGTACATTAATTATTTGTGGCATAAATATTACTTGGATAAATAAAGTGAATAACTTTACTGCTATTTACAGCAATTATCATTTTTACTTCCTTTTTGTATCTTGCAAGGTACAACAAACAAAAGTGAGCGAATGAGAAACCATTGCAATAACATATACAAACTCCATATATATATACTCGATACACCGACGTCGTATAGACTGCAAAGAATTAGCCAGACAGCAATGTCCTCTTTTTACCCATAAACACGTATTAAGTAAATTAATTATTAATTTAATTTGTTATTCCTGTGATCGGGGCCGGCGGCAGCTGCGTCAACATTTATCTTATAGGTAATATCTTAAGTCTGACTTAAGTAATGCCATTAATGGATGTTAATGCCTAAAACACAGCGCACCGTTAAAAAGATAAAACGTCTAGCACTGTCATGTCCATATCGAGTTCTAAGGTTTTCGCGATTGTTACACATAGTCATATGGTCAACCGTGACCATGGGACCTGTAAAGGTCCCGAAAAGTCGGTTTGTTTGAAAAAACCAAATACGCGCGATTTAAATCCGGAAAAATAGTTTCATTTCCTACTGTCATGTCTGTTCACTACTGTAACTGAGTAGAGTTAAGGATAACTCTCTTTGTCGTTTAAAATTCTAGGTCTACCTTTGTTTCAAAACCCATGAAAATCTGACCAGCGACAGCGACCTGAATTTGCTATTCAGTTCAGTGCAGGCCCGTTCAATTTTAGCATATTTTTTTGCTTTATATTTACTATACGATAACCCTCTATAACTTAGGGTTGCTAGTTAGCTCCTCCCAAAAACTCGAGTTGGCAACACTGCACTGAAAAGCCGGAGTGATGCATGCCGGATATGGCTGTTATAAAATGTAGAGATGAAACGGATATCCGGCAACTCTTCTAATTTTACTATCCGGCCGGATACGCGTAATAGGACGATATCCGGCCGGATACCATATATTTAAAACAGAAAAATTCTCAATCAGTACGCCGAATAAATTGATGTATTGATTAAAGAGGATAGTAATAGGATAAATAAGTGGCAACTACACGATCGTTGACGATATGTTCATGACTTGTAACTGTAAAGTACTATAAAGTTAGATAACATAATCTGTAAATTAACTGCTCAAATTTCAGTAAAGGCAAATTAGGTGGATGAATACCCGTATTTCTGCATTAAGTGATAAACGTCGGTTCCGTATATTTTCATAGACGAGACCAGCTTCAGAAGACAGTTTTTTGTTAAAATTAGGTACTGCTTGATATGACCAGTGATACGACCGGACGCCAAACGAAAGGGTCACGATCACGATCGATTCGAACTTGCTTCAAATAATAAACGATTTAAAAGAATTATGTTTTTGTATGAACAATGTGTACTGATAACAATGAAACGTGTAAGTAGATTTAGAAAAAACTTTTTCAGCCAAAAGTTTAGAATAATTGGATCACAAACAACAAATTAATAAAATCAAATTGAAACAAAAGAATAACGGGCGTATTAAGTGCTAGATTTATAAAATAACAAGTAGGTACACATTTTAATATAGACAAAGAATGATGTAACTCCTTTTTTCCTTCTCCACCACAAAAAAATTGCATTCAGTACAACAAACAAACGGCATTGATATTAAAATATTGCTAAATTGGCTATTTTTTTTAATGTTGACATTTTTTGTTGTGTGTTTGTTTGCATTATCGAATAAATTTATCGTTTTAACAAAAACCAAATGATCACAACAACTCAAATCGTCAATGTGAAACTTCAATCATTCAATGACGGTGATGCGCGCTGTACACCGGTCGCGACATGTTTGCGACAGTGGGTTCGATATCCGGCGGCCAAATATTCGGCTATCCGGCCTAATAGCTCACCAGATATCCGGTGTCCAGTATCCGGCCTCATAACTACCCGTCTGTAATAAAATGATTGCGACAATTTAAATATTAGCACCCAATTTTCTGTTCGGGTTGTTTAACCTCTTGCCTATGGGTTGAATAACTTTAAAATAACCGACGAATTAATCGTAAAAATTATTCTGTGCGACACCACTGGAACGTGTCTCAACGTCAGAATCTATCGGGCTCCTCACGTCGCGCGTGGGATCAACCGCCCTGCACCAGCGCAACCGGCCACCACATAAATCACATATCGACAAATTAATTCACTAAGCCGCTATTAGCGTAATGTCCTTCGTGTTTCATGTTCTTCTACTTGTGGCTTTAAATGATGTATTGCGACATTTTACAAACACATCTCGTAGGTCGACGATAAAACTAAATTTACTAAAGTGATTGATGAATATTTTTCGTAACACATGCATTTACATGGCGTATGTATGTAATTACTAAAGATAAATTCATTTGTCTCTTTATGGCTAGGCTGTTGATAGGTTAAACAAAGTTGTTATACCATGCGAGGGGAGCGATCAAATAACCATATTGAAAATACCAACCATCATGTACATGTGCGATCTCGTGTTCAGCTATCGGAACATGCGCATGTGCTGCTGGAACCAACTGAGCCTGTATCGGCGCAGACATGGCTACGCAGCTGTTAGACTTAGCACGCTACGACATTTGATATTTGTTACAAATAAGTAAACTCCGTGAGACACCTACAAAAATATTTCCATGCAAAAGACATCAACGGCATCATTTGACGCACAGTCTTGTAGTTTTTGCCAAATTCGCTGAAGTAAAATTATTTTCATGAATAAAATAATTGAATCCATGTTAAGTAATAAAAATCCGGGACGGCTATTGCATTAGCTTCTATGTAACTACCATTTAGAAAGAAGCAAATGGCGCCACTAAGTTCTGTAGACACATAATGATTGTTGTAATCACCTATAGATAGTCTCGTAAATTCCTCACAATTCTGCGAACCGACACTGCCGTCGTGAACTCCAAACGTGCAGATAAGCCACCAGCACACAGCAACAGAAAGTAGAGTTTTCTAAATAATTACAATCAAGAGAAGGCCATTAAACAAACTTCCAGCCGCTCTGTCGTTCGTGGCATAGCATTAAAGATTTAAACCTTATTTCCATAAAGCAAAGACGTGCAGACGCAGCATAATGGTTGCAACGATTTACTATTCAAAACACTGCATAGTCGCATATATCTTCGCTGCTGGTTGTGAAATGATGGTAAAAACTATGATAGCATGTAGATGCTTATACATAACGGTGAAGGCTCCATTTCAAAGCAAAATAAAATTAGTTTTTGAGTAAGAATCTACAACCAGACTTTACGGGAATTTTTACCTTAACACCTACATACAATA